TAAATCATTTTCATGTAAAAAAAAAGTCAAACGAATACTGACCACTCATTCTTCAATAAAAATATTTTTTCCATCACATCACTAATTTTTTCTTCTTTTTCAACCACACATTTCCCATCATATCACTATTCAAAATCAATTCTTCCCCCAAAAAATTCCTACCAAACAAGCTTTAATTTTCAGTAAGAAGAAAAATTATAGTGGCAATCTCTAATCTTTACGAGTTTGAGTACTTGGGCTCTCAATTAACTACTTCTAGTTTTCATTTTCATAGACTTCCGAAATGAGTCAAGTGTATTGGTTTACATCACTTCCTTATGTTAAACAATCACGTGACTAGCAATGACCAATTTGCAAGGTGTGTGATAACTCATAACTGTGACTACATGCATTTAATTGAAATTTTTGAGATTCAACAGTTAAAAAAGTTTGAATGGGGGACCTAATGCTCAAAGTAAAGAAAAGTGAGGACCGAAGCTGTAAATTACTCTAAATGTACTTATACACCATTCGTTATTTCTTCTTTGCAAAAAACCTATCTCAGCCCGCCTCCTTCACCCACTGTTTCGCCCTTTCGCTCAGCCAAGATGCCGAAGCATTACAGATTACCTGTATGTTCTACTGCCCTCTTTCCACCGCAAAGTTTTCGTATTGGCAGAAAAATTCTGTCTTGAGTAATGAATTTTTCTTGCTGTTGTTTATTTACAGGGGAAGAAAAAAGAAGGAAACGCCGCCAAGTACATGACTAGATCCCAAGCTGTTAAATATCTTCAAGTCAGTCTCTCGGTTTTCAGGTGAATTTAATTTTTTGGATTTCTATAATTTTTACTTTGGTTTAGCTTTAATGAAACTGCTTTAATTCCCGTACTTATATGTTTGTAATTTCTGATGGTTTGGTATAATATTGTATACAGGCAGCTATGCATCCACAAAGGCGTTTTCCCCCGGGAGCCGAAGAAGAAGGTGAAGGGAAATCACCACACCTATTATCATATAAAAGATATTATGTTTCTCAAACACGAGCCTCTGCTGGAGACATACAGAGAGATTCGGGTGCACGAGAAGAAAGTGAAGAAAGCAGAGTCAAAAAAGAACCGGAATCTCGCTGAAAGGCTTGAAAGGCATAAGCCTGATTATTCTCTAGACAGGCTTGTTAAAGAGAGGTGATATATGGTGTTGATTCTTATTATTTTCGTTTATTACTCTAAGCCATAGTATTTTCTTAGGAGAACTTGTGGGGGAAATTTTGGGGTTTAGGTGCAAAACAATTTTTTACATGAACGTGATTGAAAATGAGAACAAGTAAATTGTTTTGTTTTAAAGAGAGTCAAACAGGGGCTAATGATAATCACATTTGCTTATTGTTGCTGATATCTTGTCTATTATTAGGTTCCCGACTTTTGTTGATGCTCTAAGGGACTTGGATGACTGTCTTAGTATGGTACATTTATTTGCTGCCTTGCCTGCAGTAGAGAGGGAACATATTGAAGTCGACCGGATTCATAATTGTAGAAGGTCATTATTCACTTTGACAAAAAAATCTTTTATTTTCTCTTAAATTGTAACATTTTGCAATTTTTTTTCACGCTTTAACCTTGCATATTATGTATATAGATTGAGTCACGAGTGGCAGGCCTATATCTCTCGCACCCATAAACTACGGAAAACCTTCATCTCTGTTAAAGGCATATATTACCAGGTATGCCTTGTATGATAAGATAATTTTAATCATTTTAGTATGTTGTTCTGGATCCTTATTTGCTATCTATCTTGGCAGGCAGAGGTTCAAGGACAAACAGTTACTTGGTTAACTCCTCATGCACTGCAACAAGTTCTGCCGTCAGATGTTGATTATAAAATCATGCTAACTTTCTTGGAATTTTACGAGGTCAGTGTCGTTAAATGTAATATGCTTTATTGTGACCTCTTGATGCATCACATGCTTCGTGTGTATTAAGTTAGGCTTGAGCTCTTTTAAGTCAAAAGTTGCATTTTATTTTGTGGTATTAGGAGTTAATTATAGAATTACAGCGAGGAAGAGAAAAAGAACTGAATGTAAATCTGAAGTGAAGGACAGCAACAAGCTAGAACAATGTAATCAAAAGGCTAAAACTAAAATTCTAAGACCTCCAATTCTTTATGAATGCCATCTCATTAAAATTTAATGCCAAGCGAAGGGAATACTTCTCTAACCATCTTCATAACCTTCTTTATAGTAAAAGGGGTTTTTTTTCCAACTTTCTTTGTCTGGGTAATTTGAATCAAAATCCTGTTATGGTGTTCATGAATACTTATTAGTAATTTCACTTTGTTTCCTTACAATTAGCTGATGAGTTTATTCAGTCTATGGGTATTGCTCTTATATTTCGTGACAGTGATTAACTGCATTCTGTGGTTGCAGACTCAACTTGAACTCGTAAATTATAAACTTTACCAGTCAATAAATGTGAAATATCCACCTATCCTTGACCCTCGGCTGGAAGCTTTAGCTGCAGGTATGATTTACTTTAATTTCTTCTTTAATTTCTTCAATTTTTATATGCAATGAAGTGAGGTAGAAGGGGGAAAGTTTTACATCATCAAGTTCTTATAATAAAAAAATAAGGCAGGTGAGCTTTCCACAATAGAGTTGTGTTGTCTTGAGCTAGTTGTTAAATACATCAAACAAATGTCAGTAATATTTTACATTGCTGGGTTATGCAGATCTTTACGGCCTGACAAGATATCTTGACACCAATGCTAGAGCCTCCATGGTGGAGTCAATTGATGTTAGACCATCTGGTTCTGATCAGATTGAAGAACAGAAAGAGGAGACAAAGCTTGAGGAGCCTGAACTTAGACTTGCACAACTTCAACATAATCTTTCTTCTAATGAACCTGGTTCTATGATGCGCCTTGTTGAAGATGTCGGAGAGGGGGATGAAGATGATGCAGAAATGAAGGAATGCCGAAACTTCTTCAAGGACATGAAATTCTTCTTGAGCCGCGAGGCGAGTCTTGAAACCTTTTAATTTTGTGGAGGAATTTGAAAGCAATTCTACGTATTTATTCGTTACATCAATAAAATAAAATTTTGATGTCATTCGGGGTCACACTACCTGCTGATGATTATTTTTGCGAACAACATGCACATATGGTGTGTTCGGCATCATATCTTAAATTTAGAATCAGTGTCTTACTAAATATGTTTACAATGTCAATATGACATGGCAAATCACACACATAAATGCTTCTTGCTTCTGGTTATACAATTTTATTAACTCCCTCTCTCTTTTTTCCATTATTGGTTGCTACTTGTTCAGGTTCCCAGGGAGTCGCTACTTTTTGTCATCCCTGCCTTTGGTGGTATGGTTTCATGGGAGGGAGAAGGAGCTCCATTCCCAGAATCTGACTCAAGTATTACTCACCAGGTCTGCCATACTTTTCCAATATGAGAATCTTATGCAGCTGCAAATTCCTGTATATCATAAAATGATGTGGAATGTGAATATTAATGTTTATTACTTCTGTAAGTTAATATGGTAGATATCTAGACAAAATAAGAAACATGAATGCATGTAGGAGTGACTCATACAAGCTGTGGAACTAAATTGTTCATTTGCTTTCTGTTGCATGAATTTTACACGGTCATTGTTATTTTCTCCCCATTTTTCACCTTTTTGATTTAATAAACTGTGGTAAACACCATATTTAAGCAATCCCTCTTTCGGGTGATGGAATTTCTATTAAATTATAAGAGAAACTGAAAATTCCAAATTACCATGCTTCCTTAAGTAGCCCAGTTTGATTTAATTGACTGTTATATTTGGTACTATCTCTTTCATCTTTGCTCTTTAATTTTTAGAGGAAAAGGAATTCTTTATGGAGAGTGGGTAGGCTATGAGGAGTGTTTCTTATATATGTTTATCTTTTTATTCAGACATTTTAAGTGTTCTTATGCTTTAGAAATCTATTTGGGTGTCTTACGCCTGTTACTGAAATTAAATGCAAATTTAGCCCCTGTTTTGAGCCCCATTTTTCACAAAAAATGGATTTTGTAATAATAATTTTTTTTTGGAGAATGAGTGGTTTAAAAGTAAAGAAAAGTTTTGGATTTATGTGCGAATTATTTTATTGGGAGAATGTGTAGTTGAAAATAAGTTTGAAGTTAATGGGGCTCAAACAGGGGTTTAATTATTTCATAATTTTAGGCCCCCCCATCGGAGTTCTGCCTGTCCCCCAATATGTTGGGATGGATACTGGTTGTCATGACTAATGATTCTGTTAAAAAAGATGAGAATGAAATGAATTTGAAAAAATTTAAACATCTCTATAAATTTGTGCCAATTGTATGCTCACCTTGGCATTCTACTACTTAGAAGGCATTTCAACCCTCTAGGCTTTTTGAATGGAATTGTTTATGCTGCTCCAACTTCTTGGCCAATGTGTTAAAAAGTAAATTTTGAGGTTACGTGCTTACATGTGCAGATTGTTGACAGACCTACTCAAAAGCGGAAGTTCCTTTCCCGAGAATATGTCCAGCCACAGTGGATTTATGATTGTGTAAATTTCCGTGTAATATTGCCGACTGAGGAATACTTGGTGGGAAGGTCATATTCGAGAACTCATCTGGTGGTTTTGGTTTTTATTCATCATGCACCTTATTGATCTTACTTATTTCCCTCGTCTGCTTTGGATAAGATAGAGTAATTAATAATTAATGATTGTACGGCTTGTAGACTTTGGTTATATAATTTCCAACCACAACCAATAAACAAAAAGAAACAAAAGAACAGATTGGGGCCAATGAGGACTGCTGACATTGCTAGTCTGATAATAAACAAAAAGAAACAAAAGAACAGATTGGGCCAATGAGGACTGCTGACATTGCTAGTCTGATAGAACACGGTTGTGTTTCTTTCGTGCTCAATACAAAAGTCTCAAACCCCTTACAATAAAAAAAAAAGAAACCAAAGAAAATATAGGGGACTAAGAAGACTCATGTTCGCGGTTAGGAAACACGCATTGTGTCTGTGGGTGCGCAAGCACACATTCATCAGTTATAGCCCCTGTTACAGGTTTGTGTGTGCTGTTTCCTTTTTTATTTTGCTGGCTCAAGTTGTTAACTTGTTAGGCTGAATAAAATTAGTTGCAATTTACACCAAAATTATGTGGCAGATCAATCATGGACCTATTGTGAGTTTTAAGTATAGAACTGTGAACGGCCTCAAAGATTAAGGTTTTCCTGGGATTCCTTATTAAAAGAAACAGAAAACATATCTGGAGTAGTACTAGTTCTCCACATTTCCAGTCAAGCTATATCTGTGTGGGACTACTTGTAGGGAATTGATAGGTCTTGAGATTTGAAACGAAATGAGGCCTCTATTTCTGGAATAGTGCATGATGTGCAATTTTCCTTGTTGACATGTATATTTGTCTTCAATTTGATTTAAAATCTCCATACTCAACAATAGTTTCCTTTATATGTTTTGGGAGTTCAAATGTATTGTTAACTTCTACAAAGTTCGTTATGGCTTCAATGGTGTGGGTTTCTGCAGGGTTGCTCCGCCACATCTATCCCCTTTTGTTGACAATGAAGAAGAAGGCCATGTTCCTGAATATGCAGAAACTATCAAACGGCTGCAAGCTGCTGCAAGGAAACAAGTCTTACCTTTGCCGGGTGCAGGAGAAGATGATTTGGGTGACCCTCAGAATTTACTAGGTATTATTGACCGGGCTGAGGAAATTGAAGCTACTGAAAAAAAACGAAAGGTAATAGTATTTTGACGGATGTAAGCTGCTGGTTTTAATATGATTATATATATGTGCTATGGCAGAATTTACTAAAACACTTGTTTATGCAAGTAGGAATGGGTTTGCTTGTAGACTAATCTCATTTTTTACGGTGACCAACACGCCATGTTTCAGTTTTAATAATCTAGAATAACTTGTGAATAATTGATTGTTAATTTATTTATGATGATAAGACTCAGGATTTATTCATCTAGTTTTATCAATTCTTATGATCTAGTTACATATATGCCCTTCCGTTAACCCCCTCAATCATTATATCCTTCGAGAAAGAAAAAGAAAACATTTTTCTTTTGATGAATTAAGCTTTCATTAACACATTCAGGTGAGAATCTTTATCTACTTATTAGGTGTTGGTTTTCATGCCCTGGCATTATCAATTCTTAGAACTCATTACCAGTGATTGCATATACTGCTGCTCCTTTTTTATCTACTTCACATGGGCTGAGTTGTTTACGTTGTTGAATTGTATGCATTCAGATGACATTTGATCAGAAGCGGTATCTTGATGAACTGAATACGGAGCTTGAAAGTTGCCAGTATTATGATCGTTCAAATGTGAGCAAGCTGAAAGATGCTGAGGGCACAGATGCTGCAGAGGACTCTTTACCTGATTTGAAACAAATTGCTGAGGATAATGACAATATGTCCAAGGTCTTAATATCGCGTAAAAAGAGAAAGCTTTTGGAAGCCATGGAGGTAATTTTGTTGATCGTGTTACGTTGCATTATCTCTGGATTTGTTTCATTGAACTGGGGGTTTCGATTGTGATATTGTTCTTTTGTTATATTTGTCATAGTTAGCATCATCATCAAAAAGGGCATGTTTCTTTTTTATTATTTTATGTTAGTGTTGTAATTGTTCTCATTGCTATCTAGTATCTATCTATTGAAGAGCATTTCTCTTGGTTGATAATTTTTTCTAAAACATTAATATGGACAAACAGACCAAGTAGCTGGGCATTTTCGTAATTTGCCCATCTACCTTTTTTATGTTGTTTTGGTAAGAATTTATCACTTTGTTGGAACATTGTAGGTTCACTTGAAATATGACCTTTTTGATATAGATTCTACTGAGATAGAATATGTAGATTAACTAATATCGAACAATAATTAGAATAGTTTATCAAGCCATTACTGACAAAATGTTTGTCAGTTAAATATTATTAGATAAATATGGATGTTGGCGTGGATTTGTGGCTGTGCTAGAATGAATATATAATAAGAAATGAGAATGTACAAGTCAATGCAAATGTCTCTATTTGTGTATTGTGGAAATTGTGCGGTGTTTCTCATGGATGCTATGTTATTTTGTTCAGATTGGCAAAGAACGGAAAAAGGCTAATATTAAGCTTCTGAAAGAAAGGAAGAAAAAAATTGATGAGGCTGAGAAGTCTGGATGAATGTGCAACTGTAAGAGATGTTTTCTTTGAGTTGATAGTGTTTGTAACCGAGCTTTGGACATTTCATGTTCTTCATAAGCCTCAATTCCTTGTTTTTGTTTTTTGTTTCAACTAAACATTATCGATAGGTTTTGTAGAACTAAATACTTGTGGAACATTCTGAATTTTGATATTAGACTTTTATCGCTATGATCTTGCTGGTACTTTTTTCGTTACTATTCGTTGTCATGACAATCAATATTCAAATAGTTAGTTGGTAACTTATGTTTTGTTTGGCTTAGAAAAGTACACATGCATTTCAATGTCCACCTCCCCTTGTGGTAAAATTTTGAGGTCCAAATTACTTTTCTTTTGAATATTGGGTAAATTTTAAGAACTTTTCCTATCAGGTTTATGACAATTTTAGATGCACCTCTCTATTTTCGAAAATTACCAAAACCTTCCCTGTTAAACAAATTTCCATTTTGCCTTTTTTCTTGTTTTAAATATAAAATTGTATGTGTATTCTTATTTATTTTTTCACAAATTAAAAATTAACATATTCGTCAAGATTAACCCTTTTTTTAATTATTTTTTTCCTTATTAACTTACAAGTGTTTTAGAGTGAAAAAAATGCAATGCTTTCACCACGCCTTGCATTGTCCTTATAGGAAGTAATCAAATTAGGACAAGGGATATCCTTTCTTAGATGAAGTAATGATGCATGCATTGGTGTATGGTGCCTTTCCCTTTTTCATTTTATCGAATATTAGGAATTAAGCACATTTTCGTTGACTCTTTAAAATAGATAGTATATTATATTTTCGTTGACTCTTTAAACAGATCAAAATAAGTGATGAATAAAAAGTAGTACCAAAATTGGCTTCAGTGGATGCAACTCCACAACGTCCATGGATTTTCTTGACACCTTTTCATTTAAGAAAGTTAAAGAAAAAAGAAATCAAAGTATAATCAATGACGTTGACAGTAATTAATTAACTCAATAGTAAAAAAAGAGAAAAATGTTTAAATCCCAAGATGTTAACTAAAATTGAATAAGCTATCCTTGATATATCATAGTCGTCGCATCTAAACTACAGAGTCAGAGATTCAACCGGTGAATTATGTCAGTCCCTAAAAAAATATTTTACAAAATTCTCAACAAATGGAGATTCTATATGCGAACCAATATTTACAAAAAAGAAGGGAAACAATAAAAATATGACCACGCTAGCTCCTGGGGAATTATTTGTCGATTTTGTTTGGGTTCCATTTTTAATGAAGTGCATTTTTCTTTCTTATTTTTAACCACACATTCTTCAATAAATTAACATTACACGTAAATTCAAAATATTTTCTTATTTTTTAATCAGACATTCTTCAAAAAATAAATATTTCAAAACACATTTTCTCCAAAATCTATTTTCAATGGATCCCAAGCACAATATAGCTTAATAACCGAATCAATATCTGCAGTAAATAGCTAAGGTTGCCTTGGATGGAACTCGAGAGTCAATAACTTCTGCAAATCTCAATTAGTTATATACAAAATGTTTGTGCAGCTACTTGATATTTATATTAACATTGAAAACATAAAAAGATACAATTTATTATTTACCTCTTCCATTAGCATTGGATGCGCCCATGAGGAATCTTAAGAGGTACCATGCCAAGAAAAACATATGCGGCGCAATCATCTGAGCACGATGAGAATAAAGCGATATCCTTTTCATGCAAGCTGCAAAATTCATATACATATATTGCACAAATAACAAGTAGCAGAAACAGGGGCGAACTCAGGAATTTAGGATGCCTAGGCTGAAATTTAAGAAAGTCAATATAATAAATTAATGTAACGCTAGTCTTTCACCCGTGCGATGCACAGAAGGTGAGATGTAAAAATTTATATTAACTACAAACAATTCTAATGATATGTATGCACTGAGATGTAAAAATTTATATTAAACAATTCTAATGATATATTCGCACGATGTAAAAATTTATATTAACTACAAACAATTCTAATGATAAGCATACAATCAATTAGATCGAAACGCTTCATAATTTAAATTTAAAACACTTCATAATTTAAATTTAAATAAAAATATATACACCAAATAACTAATTATATAACTAATTATATGCAAATCAGATAAATGAAAGAAAATACATGTGGGGTGGTACAAAAATTAACTGTGGGATTGGGCTTGTTATAAGAAAAAAAAAATAATAATAAAATCCATGTCTCCGTCCAGAACGGAGATACGGGCGTGGACAAATTTATATTTATATCAAGTGACAAACAATTCATATGCTAATTGATTTTCAAGCCAAAACACTTCATAATTTTAAATAAAAATATATACACCACGTAACTAATTATATGCAAATGAAAGAAAATACATTTGGGGTGGTGCAAAAGTAAACTGTGGGTTTGGAATGGTTTAAAGAAAAAAAAAAAATCCGTGGCTCCATGCTAGACGGAGACACGGATCGTGTCTCCATGCTGGATGCCCATGTCTCCATCTAGAACGGAGACACCGTCCGTGTCTCCATCTAGCATGGAGACAGGCGGTGTCTCCATGCTAGATGGAGACACGGATTTTTTTTTTTTTTTTGTTTAAACGGTACAAACCCATCACCCCCAAATGTATTTTCTTTCATTTATCTATTTGCATATAATTAGTTATGTGGTGTATATATTTTATTTAAAATTATGAAGTGTCAAGAGTCGAGACAAATAATAAAAGCTAATCTCATTCGAAATGAAAATTATCTGCAATCACAACTTGTTAATTACTTTTCCAAAATAAAATTCAGTGACTAGTAGCACCTTTAACTTCTTGAATTAATACAAAGGGCATTATCTCATTCGAGTTTCATAAAAATGTCAAAGATGTGTCTGTTAAAATTATGATTTAACATAAAATTTGAGATGTGTTAGATAAAGACATGTCAAACATTTAAGCCAAAACAAATAGCTTCCAAATTCTCAACATCAAGCTACCCAGTACCCAATTTGATCAAGGACGTATAACAGAAAAAATCGAAATGGTGATAAACTGAACTGTAAGTAGATAGAGGCACTTACTGCGACGCAACGAATTGCAGAGATCGTGATTTTCGGATTGTGAAGTCTCTTAATTATAATTCAATTACAGCTTCATAATGAAGTCTTATGTTTCATTTAAACTACTATATTAATCAAGTCTCCTAATATTGGCGCAAGTAATTTGTCGCAATTTTTCAAGAAAATACATGGTATATTAAGTAAATTATTTAGTTTAATTTAACATATTTGCAATTAAATTTAAATTATATATTATATATATGGTATAATCTTACTCAAAGTCACAATTTAAGTCTATGTTTAAAAAAAAAAAAAATTCACTGCGCAGCTCCGTGACTGTCCAGCTCCGCTCTGGACGGTCCAGCTCTGTTCTGGACGGAACTTGCTCCCAACTGAAATCACCACATCCCAACCTCCACCAAAAGGAAAGAAAAAAACAAATATAAGTAAATTAGGATGAGAAAGGGAACATGCCAAATCTCAAGTTTCAAAGGCAAAGAACCAACTAAGTTCTCAAGCAATTTCACAGAAATATGTGTATGAAATTGCATTGAGAAGGTAGAACTTTTGTCTAAACCATGACATCATTACTCGCTGTGCTAGATAAAGTGAAATTTTATCAAGTAAAATCAAAAGTAATGTGCTAGTAATGTGAAATCTCATTGCTAGCATTGTTTTACTTTTTTTTTTTTCTCAAGACAAGTGAATGAACGCAAAAGAGATTGAACTGCGAAACAGAAAATAGTCAAGCTATGTACAGTAGCTAAATGTATATTCAATTATCAAGAAAACTATAATTAATATCTTACCACCCAAGTTCATAAGAGATCCCTGAGCAGCCTCATTATGTGCTTCCCTTCTTGTTCTAACTATCAAGAAGACTATAATTAATATCTTACCAGCCAAGTTCGAAAGAGATCCCTGAGCAGCCTCATTCTGTGCTTAACTATCAAGAAGACTATAATTAATATCTTACCAGCCAAGTTCATAAGAGATCCCTGAGCAGCCTCATTATGTGCTTCCCTTCTTGTTCTATGTATTCCTCACCAATTTTTTGTCCGCAAATAAAACTTGCAGACCACCGTAAGATAATATGATCTCACTGGAATGCTCACAAAAAATTTCCAAAACAGAATGAATCAGGAGCTGAAGGTATTGGGAATATTTTAAAAATTATCAATGGTGCGCTGATTTTGCCTAAGAAGAGAAAACATCGTTACCATTTAAAGACAAGTTCTTAATTGTTTAATTTTCAATGTGCATAGATTTGGCCAGAGAAGAAAAAAAATTGAAGGCTAAGGCGAGATATATTTTTCTTTCTTTTCTTTTCTTTTCTTTTTCTTTATTTTTTTTCCCATCCTTGGCAGAAAATTAGGCGAGAACACTGTTGCAGAGCTATCCTCCTTTAATATAGTATAAGATTTAAAAGTCATTTTCATCTAATTTGAAGTTTTCGATGAGAAAACATAAAATTCATCCATCTTCTCAACAAGTTTTCATTGAGTGTCCAATAATCAGCAAGAAAGTCATCATCCGTTTTGTTATGAAGATCCATCTTCGCAATGTTGAAAATGCTTGTTCAATATTGATGGTAGAAACAGATAAAGTCAATATTAGACGAATAAACATAGTCACCAGCCTTCTATTCTCAATCAATTGTCGGCATAACTCAACAAGTATAGATATTTGAAACAAATGTCATTCTTCATAATTAACTCATAGTGTCGTAACTTGTATTTCAAAGTACGGATGCCTTACTTTGAAAAATCTCCAGCATATAATTTCTCCTCAAGTATACAAACGATTCAAATGCATCTCTAGGAGAGAGAAGTTCTACTAATGTACCATTAAATCTTATATTTAATTCCGATAGTATGAAATCTATTGCTTCATCGAATACACCTAGTCATATGATGTTACTTCATTGTTTTTATCAAGTTATAGGATGTTC